AAACAGCCCTTTTTCCACTGTGTTCTTTTAGACCAGACCAACACCCAGCCCAGGCCACTGTACACCATGTTTGCACAACAACTATGCAGGGTTAGGAAGCACTGAGTAGGAGCTACTTCAGCTCAGTCTTCCCAGGAATGCTTCTCTTTTGAGAAGCATTTATGGCCTCCCTTGTAGCATCCTCTACATGACTTCCCCAGTTTCCACATGTGTGGTCATTTCTAGAGCCATCCCTTGGATTAGAGCAGTGCCTTTATTATTAAGAGGAAGCCTTGTTCACCATCTTTACAAAAACAAGTTACTGAATAACAGGTGGCTCGCAGCCAACTAAAAACACCACCATGGGCCATTTCACCTACCTGCCCTGATTTACTTTCATCTCATGAAGTGAAAGTGCCAGAACTGCCACATTGCCCAGAGTTTAACCTTACCTTAAGGATCAGAATCTCAATTTGATTTTAAACACTCAAGGTAAGGTGAAATCAATGTTTCAGGCCAAGTTCCCTTAATGCCCCTTAACATCATGCACATAAAGCATGTCAGTGTACTACAAAGCATCTTATTCTGCAGGGTTGGAAGAAAGAGTTCATGAGAACCACCAGCCTTCGTGTTCCTGATGCACTTTAAAACAAGACCAAGCAGCAGCACCAACTGGAAAGTGCCAACTCAACAGCTAAATAAAAAATACAGGAACTGAAAGTCACAGCAGCAAAAGGGAACAATATAGAAGGATTGTGGGGTAACCCCATCAGGAAGCTCAGCCCCATACAGCTGCTTGCTCCCTCACCACAGTTTGTGACGGGGAGAGAACTGAAGCATAAAAGCGAGAGAACTTGCAGGAGATTAAGACAGTTTAACAGGGAAAGCACAAGCCATCATCCACTGCTTCCCATGGGCAGGCAGGTATTCAGCTGTCTCCAGGAAAGCTGGACTCCATCAGGTCTAACAGAGACTTGGGAAGGCAAATGCCGTAACTCCAAACAGCTCCCCTTCCTCCTTCTTTCCCCAGCTTTTATTGCTGGCATGAGGTCCTGTGGTCATGCCTGGCTGTGTCCCCTCCCAAATTCTCGTGCACCCCCAGCCCACTCACTGTAGGGGAAGGGTGACAAACAGGAAAGGCCCTGGGGCTGTGTAAGCCAATGTAAAATAAGTAACCAATGTAAAACACTGTTATCAAGGCTCTTTTTATCACAAATCAGAAACATAGCACCATACAAGCTACTATGAAGAAAATTAACTCTATCCCAGCCAAAAAGGTACCAATACATTTACTTGACATAAACATCTTCAATTATTAAAAAAAAAGGTTATTCAGGACAAGTAACAGAATGGCCCTGCCTCATTAAAGATAAAAGAGATGGGGGGAGGGAAATCAGTGAAATCACCTGACTGAAGGGTCATCTTTCTACCTGCTCAGATAGCAACAAATACTGATTTCAACCCTGCTGTAAGATGCATTTGCATATCCTTTGTGCTGTGGGTTCAGTTTACTGTTAAGCCCTAGTTTGAGTAAACACTTACTCTTCTAAATGACTGCTGAAAAGAGATAATAGTAAATCACCGAAATTAGTTCCACAAGCCTCTTCTGCTTGCAACAAAGCCAGTTCAGAACTCCCTGTCCACTCCTGCCACAGCTTCCTCTAACACAAGACATTCCCATTTTCTCAATTGTGTTACTCACTGCTTGTGGGGTTCCACTAGCCCAGGTCAGCAAAGTAACCAAGATAAACAAACCACACACACAAAAAAAGGACAGATGCCATAAGGATGTAAATGTTTTCATAGCCAGACCTTCCAGCTTTCTGATGTATTCCTAGGATATCCTGCGTGAGCATTCAATAGCTAAAAAAAGCAACAAAACTTTTTTGCACACAAGGTTGTTTATTTTGTTGATTTACCAGTTAATTACATGTAGGTGGTAGAAAGAGCCATGTCTGCCACACATGGTCAAACCACATCACATCCTATCACACCTGGAGAACTCCCACTATGGGTGCCAATAATGAGCTTTAGATAGATGACCTCATGGTGACCTAGAGGGCACTTCTCTATCAAAACAATAATTCTTTAGAAATTACTCAGATTAAAATCTTTCAAGACAAACAGTTCAAGACATTTGCCTCGTAAAACTAGATTTCATGTTTTTCTGGTCTTCCATCCTGGCTGCAGGTGCTCTGTATGGGACACCAGACATTCATCATTTATTATCAGTCAGGAAAAGGTAAATCCACAAACAGATTGTGTTGTTTAACACAATCAATTGCAATTCAGATAACAAGCAAAAGAGTTACTGGGTGCTGTTACTTAGGCTGAGTATGTTGGGTGGCTGGGGGCAAGAAGAAACAAGACATTTTACCACATTTTGTCACCAAAATATTGAGGCAAAGACCTTTCAATACATTCAAGAACTTCTTGCTGCAGCAAGCAAACGAGGCAAGTTGAGCATCAGGCCCACCCTCAACCCAACCAGTAGAGAAGAATTTATCCACCTTTTCCATGCTGAGCTCTACAGGCAAGGAAGTTTTCCTACCTGCAGCATCAGAGGTCTCAGCTTAGAAGAACTAACAGCTTCTGACAGGGTGACTACAGGAATTCTGACTAAACCTGGCACAAACAAGAAGTGAGCACTGCACTCCTGACTTACATGGTTATTTTCAGAAAACATTTCAAGTAGCAACTGAAATGGGCAGGGGAGCTCAAAGTAGTAGCAGGCAGTTGAGCTAAAATGTACCATGTCAATACTCCTCTGCTTGTTACTGACCCCTGTGTATGTGCCCATGTGCACTTGTATGAGTGTGTACAAAAGGGGTACTAGGAGAAAATAAATAAAAAAACCCCAGGCTTTGTTAGTATCAAAAAGAATAATAAAAATATCATTATTATTCTTTCCAGTAATGCCTAGACACTCTCTGAGACTTTCAAAAGCAATCAGGCAGCACTCTCATGTCAGACACAGACAGGATACCACTTTAAGTGATACGCACATGGCTGGAAAATGCAGGATTGCAAAATAATCCACTCTCTTGATAGTCTTGACTGATTGTTCAAGGCTCACCCATGTACAGAAGAGATTATACCTGGAGTAACTACTTATGCTACAAATGTCCACAGAATCACAGACAGCACCTTTGGCAAAGATCCATCATCCTTAAAAGTGAATGGAATAACTGAGTTTTCAAATGACTGACCATAGGCAAGCAAGATGAACTTCTAACACAAGTATGCAGGGCACACAAGAAAATAATCTTAAAACCCTGTTGTTTGCAAAGATGTAAACCTTGTTTTTCAAAGCAGACAGGAGGATTAAAGATGTGCAGTGTAAGCATGAAGAGAAGAAACCAACATGGGCATAACTTCTGATCTGGAGTTAAAAACAAAATCAATAATTGTAGGAATGGGAACAGAAACAGTTCAACCCAGACAAGACAGTGACTTTAACACCCAGTGGTTTATTCCTTTAAATTGTAACCTCACTTTTCAGATGGACTCCACCCTAGGGAGTCTCTTTCAAAAGAGTATCTTGCAGCTTTGCTTGGTTTTAAGGCACTATATTTGGTTACACACCTCAGACTATTCCCAGCTACTGTAGCTGTTACTGTAGCATTACTGTACCTTTTGTTGTGGTCAGGGGAAATATGCTTCTTTCTTCTCCTGTCTCCATATTTATTTCCAAAGAACTTAGTTTTACGGTAAACTATGCATATCATACCTACCTATTTAAATCTAAATATCAAGGCTGTCTCTGAAGGTATGCAGCAAGCTTAGCAATCTCTACTTATGTTTATTGCAAAATGCAGTAATCTTAAACAAATCCGCACAATGCTGTTTGAAAATAGATTTAGGAATTGAAATAATAATAGGAATTATATATTAGGAGGAAGCCCTTTGCTGTGGTGAGGTACTAGAACAGGTTGCCCAGGGAAGCTGTGGATGCCCCATCCTTGGAACAGTTCAAGGCCAGGTTCAAGCAACCTGGTCTTATTGGGAGGTCTCCCTGCCCATGGCTGGAGAGTTGGAACTGGATGATCTTTAAGGTTCCTTCCAACCCAAACAATTCTATGATTCTATGAAATAAGCTTGAAGCTTCTTACCACTCAGCACAGTTTCTTATTAAACCTCCTTCCAGATGGGCTTTTGACACAGTTTTCCAAGCATGTGAACTGAGGAGGCATCAGGCTTCTTTATTGATTCCTACTGAAATACTCAGTGAAGTTTTACCCTCTAAGCAATTATTGCCAACCAAAAATACCCATCACTGGATATCCTGGATATGTACATATCGGATATCCCATCAATGTCCACGCCCAGCATCCACGAACAGTGAGCCGGCGTGGAACTCTGCCCTCGGAGAACATGAGCCATGAGCTCCATGGCCTTGTACGGCCTCCCTGGAGATATTCCAGAACCGTCTGGACGCAATTCTGTGCCATGTGCTCCGGGATGACCCTGCTGGAGCAGAGGCTGGACCAAGTGCCCCGCCGTGGTCCCTTCCAGCCCGACCCAGTCTGTAATCCTGCGGTTCTGCACAGACTCTCCTGCACGAGTCACAGCCGCATCATCTGCCTGACACAATTCCCCCTCCACCCAAATACTTCACCCGTGGCCGAACCAAAGCTCCTTTTCCAAGTCATTCATCACCACCCCTGCGTCCCATTCTCACTGTGCCTCTCCCCAACAAAGGGAACCCGTGCACCCGGAATGCACACCCCATGGCAGTGTGAACTCGCAGGTCGGACCCGATGATCCTGGAGCTCTTTTCCAATCTCAGTGACCCCGGGATTCGGCGAAACGAGTGCTGACACGGGGCCGCAGCGCACCCCCGCCCTGCCCGGGGCTCATACCCACACCCCGACCCTTCCCCCGGTGAGGGCGGGCGGCCTCGCCTGCCGCGAACCCGGCTCCGAGCCGGGCGGGCAGCGCCGTGCACTGTCCGCGGAGCCATCCGCCGCCCCGACAGCGGCGCTCCGGGACGCCCCGGCGGCCCCTCGTGCCTGACTCACCGGCGGCGAGTGCGGCGGCGATCAGCACCCACGCCGCGCCGGGCCGGCCCGCGAAGCCTCCGCCCGCCGCCATCTTCCAGCCACCGCCACCTCCTCCCCGCGGCGCCCCCATTGTCCGCCCCCGGCCGCCCGCGGGCCCGCCCCCCGCCCCGCCCAACCATAGGCCGCTGCCGCTGTCACTCACACACACCCCCCGCCCCCCGCCCCGCTTCCCCTCGAGGACTGGACAAGAGAGGCATCAGTCAAGCTCAGGTGGCCTATGCGCGCTGGGTACATATTGTCCCGCCTCCCCAGCTAGGCTCGGCATTAGCGCCCCCCCGCGTCCGGCGGGCGGATTTGAGGAGCGTCGTACCCGGGGTCTCAGGGAACGATCCCGCGGGTCGGTGAATCCCGAGGATCAGCAGATCACTGGGTCGGTTAGATTGGAAAGGGACTCTGAGATCATCGAGTCCGACCTGTAACCGAGCACCACCGCCTCAACCAAACCATGGCAATCAGTGCCAAACACCTCCAGGGGCAGTGACTCCTCCACCTCCCTGGGCAGCACATTCCAATGTCTGATCACCCTTTCTGTGAAGAAATTCTTCCTAATGTCCAACCCAAACTTCCCCTGGCACAGCTTGACGCCATGTCACTTGTTATCTGGGAGCTGAGCCCGACCCCTGGCTACAATCTCCTGCCAGGGAGTTGTAAAGAGGATAACGTCTCCTCTGAGCCTCCTCCAGGATAAACATCCCCAGCTCCCTCAGCCGCTCCTCATAGCACCGCCTCAGGCTCTGGTGCTGCCCGAGAGTTAACCCGCTGTGCCCAAAGCTTATCCCAGTGCCTTTGCAGGCATGCTACCGACCATCCCAGTTGGCATTAAATCCATCTGGAAATAAATGCCAGTCACGCCAGTGGAGTTGTGCATCCCTTGGTCAAAACCCCCACGGGAGCTGTGGGGTGGCTGTGGCCCGCAGGGACCACAGTAGTCACAGTGGAGTGTGGTGTCCCAGGCACTTTCAGCTGTGTGAGACTCCTGCTGTGCATCGCTCAGCCCAGTTTTCCAAAGAGAATCTTCCAAACAGCATGCTCCCGCAGCACTCGTTTAGTGCCCCAACCTCCCGGGCCATGGGCAAGCCTGGAGTTCTCCCACGTGCGTGTTACGGTGACAGGAAGCGCTCATCCCAAGGAAAGAGGGAGAACACTGCTGCAAGCTCTGAGCATGGACAGGAGTGGTTTCCCTGCCTGCACCGAGATCCTGCTCGGTTTTCCCTATTAACTCAGAGAGCCTGTTTCAGCATGTGCTGCCTGTAAGCACAGGCTCCTTCAGAAGTTCTTCTGCTACACCAATCACATAACCACCTTTGCCTTTCACCTGAAAATACCTGCTTGGAATTTCCCTCGGCTTGCTGACTGGACTCCCTGCTGTTACACGTCCCCTGAGACCAGGCTTTCATCCTTCCTTCTTACCCCTCGCTTTTGGGAACCTCTTTTTTAAATGTTTCTTCTTTTTCTAAGCCATGTATTTTAAACAAGTTGCATAAGCTGAGTCATATCACACGGCTATTGCTCACTGCATCCATGAGACTTCAAAAGCCTGTGGTGTGCTCTGCTCCCCAGTGCTCCAAGGATGGAGCTCCCCTCCCAGGACCTGTGCCGCCACTTTCTCTGCCACTCTCTGGCCACCTCATCACATCTGCATATGAAAGAAGTCACAGGAAAGCCCTGCTCCCGTATTCCATGTTGAGGAGGGCCATGACAAAGCAAGCTCCTATGAAAACACAGGTAGGTTATTTTTTTCCAGCTGTGATGCAAGATGCCAGGTTACAGTGCTGGTGGGATTTAAAATGTAACAGCTTATGCATTCATTATTTACACCCTAAGGGGAAGCTCTGGAGCATATTCCTCAGCTAACTGTTGTACACGTTTTCTAGAAACCCAGGCTACCAGAAATCCAGGGCAGCAATTGGGAATAAATATCAACAACACAGGCAACTCTTTGTATCATGGGGAATTGCCACCTTGTTTGGTTGGTACCTCATTTAGTCCCTCTGACTTCCCTTTATCCAACTCACTAATATTCCTGCTTTCCAAATGGAGCAGAAACTTATATGCAGCCTCACCTTTCTAGGCATTTTTGCAAGATGGCAAACCTAAAGTATTGTTTTTTTAAATGTCACCTTTTTCTTATTCTCAAATTTACTGTCCTCACATCCTTTTTTATGTACTAATAAGCCTGATTTGGCCACACACATCCCTTACCAGAGAATTCCTACACTCTCACTTCCCTGACAAAGCTGAGATCCCACTGTCTCAGGTACAGCCCCGTTTGTTGTGTAGTAATACAGCTGCTCCATACAGAAAACATCTGGGATAGTATCTGGTCTGCTTACAGCAAAACATTCTTTATCCAGATAGATATGATCAAATTATTCTCTTCTGCTATTTCCAGAGAGGAAACGGGGTGCAGGAACAACTTAATTTGTTCTGAGGAACATATATTGCGTTTTTATGGTAAGAGATGCTACTATTAAGGTTATGACATAAAGAACTGGGAACACTTCTCCCACACCTGTTAAATGTACCACATAATTCCCTAATTCACCTCAGCACCTGGATCCCTGAGAAGCTAAAACACACCCAAATACAGGTGTAGTTGCTGCTGTCCTTTTCCCTTCTAGCTATGCAACTCTACCCTGTCTAGTGATAATACCAGTATTTATTTGAATTTCTTAGAAATGCAGCTCAGATGGCAACAAACTCATTATTTTCTGCCTGCATATGGAAACCAGGGGAGTTGTTTCTTCTCTTCATGCTGAATCCATTCCCTCTCTGGTCAGAGAAGCAGCAGTGACAGGGCAGGACTGCTCAGACCACAGCAGCCACCTGGAAGGCTGCTGTTGAGTTGTCCAACTGTTTTTTGAGCTTTCTCACGCACAGAAATAGCAGCATTCAGGAAAAACATTTTTGTGACTTTTTTTTTTTTTTTTGGTCTCTTTTTTTTTTTTCTTCTGCTTATCACAGAAGGAAGATCTTAATCGGTGTGTGTCACTGGGAAAGAGGTTAAATATTTTTTTCGTGGCTGCTCTTTGTGTTAGAAATTCAGACCTTTGTTATCCTACTGTTTTGGAGAGGTCTCTAGTAGCCTGACAGAGAGAGCAAGCAGGATTATGATGTAAAAAAAAAAAAATATCTTCTAGGAGGAGAAGCAAACATATTCAAACTGATTACATTTTTAATGGTTTTGATTGTTTTCTATTTAGCCTGTATCTCCTAGAGGACTTGTACAGTAGACACTGCTTAGCGTACAAAGATATGCATTCCTGCAAAAAATACCCCAACCAACATGCTCATTTTGAATCAGTAAGAGAAGAACATGGGAGAGAAAGAAATAAAGCAAGCTCCATTTGTACAAGAAAATATTGGGTGTCTATTGCAGCATAACTTTTTCTTCTGCAAATTGGGATAAGCTGTGACTGGCACATAATGCCGCATTCATGTTTACTCTGATTAAATAGAAACACAATGGTTCTTTCAAAACTCAGAGCTGGCACAGTACTTGCATGCTGTCCTTGGAGAGTTTGGTAATTATTCTTCACAGAATCACAGAATTTTTAGGGTTGGAAGGGACCTCTGGAGATCATGCAGTCCAACTCCCCTGCCAAGGCAGGGTCACCTGGAGCGGGTTACACATGAACACATCCAGCTGAGTTTGGAATGCCTCCACAGCAGGAAACTCCATAACCTCTCTGGGCAACCTGTTCCAGTGTTCTGCCATCCTCCATGGAAAGAAGTTCTTCCTCATGTTGAGGTGGAACTTTTTGTGGTTTAGTTTATGGTCATTACTCCTTGTCCTCTTAGCATGACTGCAATTATCTGGCACCACCCTCTTGACACCCACCTTTGAGAATTTTCATTCATTGATGAGATACACTCTCAGTCTTCTCTTCCACAAACTGATTTTTCCATAATTTGATTAAGAAGAAGGTCTTGGATCACCCATTATGCAAGGATAAGTGTTCTGAGGAAAACTTATGATGGAAAGGGATGAGAATGATGAGCTATTCCCATGCTGAACTGAAGCTAATGAACAATTTGAGCCAGGAGTATTCTTGATAACCATGATGCATTAAAAAGCCCATGAAACGAAAGCAATTCTTTTCCCCATCTCTCCCTCCTGCGTTCCCTCCAGCTTCTTGGAATGTAAGCAAAATTAATTACTGTAGGGAGACGAGCCAAGGTAGCACCGAGCACCACCAGCGTTGTAAGAAGACTCTATTTAAACAGGTCGGAGTAAAATCTTCACCTGTAAGGTCAGGAAGTACCGTCGCCACTGCCTGGCCGTCGCACAGTTTGGAATTATGGAAAAGAACCACGAATTCCCCCTTTTTCATCTGGGGTTCGCAGTCCAGCTGCCGCGGTCCAAGGCTCGCCATGGCAGCTCTCGCACCCACGGGCAGACGGGGCTGCCGCAGTGCGCATCAGGATCCCGGGCACCACCAGAACCCAGAGAAGCAGCACCAGTGGCCCCTCAGCAACACGGAGCACCAGGGCGGAGCGGCGGGGATGTATCCCGATGAGGGGCGGGCGGCAGCACCGGAGCGTTCCTGTAAAAGAGAGAGAAACTGTTCTCTACGGCGGCTCGTTGGTCTAGGGGTATGATTCTCGCTTAGGGTGCGAGAGGTCCCGGGTTCAAATCCCGGACGAGCCCGATTTTTCTTGTTGCTCTTTTCACCTCTTTCGTCCGCTCAGTGCTACGACCCCGCGTTGTCCACTGCGTTCCTCGGGCATCGGCAGCGAAGGGATAACACCCGTCCCATTTTAGCGCAAAGAAAAGCGTTAATAACTCACCGGGGAGAGGCCGCTTCTCTTCGCCTCGCACCGGGCGCCGCTATCCTCGATTTTTTCGGCCTTCCCCTTCAGCTTTCCCCCCTCGCACGCTCCGGAGCACACGGGGCTGCTCCTCGCCCTTCCGCCGCTCGCAGGCCTTCCTCGAGCTGCGGGCGGGCCCGATGCGCAAAAACACTCCAGGAGGGCACCACGGAGGCAAAATAAAGAGCGCCGAGCGCCCCCGTGCCAGCGGGCTCGTCCGGGATTTGAACCCGGGACCTCTCGCACCCGAAGCGAGAATCATACCCCTAGACCAACGAGCCGCTCTGCAACCAAAGTCACGCCTCAGCACTTCACTCTCTTCCCGCCTCCTCCCAGCCTCAGCCACCCTCGTCAGCTCTTTTGTGGGTCTGTCCTTCCCCGCCACTGCCACACCCACGGTGGCTTTGCCTGCCGCTCCGGAACACATCGCTCCTCTCCATAACTGATGCCGCTTCCCCCTTCCCTCCCTCTCCAGAGTAACCCGTGGCATCACCCTTCCCCCGACCCTTCGACTCCGCTTGGCACAGGTGACTCCGAGTCCTGCGGGGGGTGCGGCTCCGCTCTCTTCCGTTGCTCAGACCCCGCTCCCGCGCTCATCCTAGGCGTGCAGCAGCGACCACCCCCTCCTTCCCATTCCATTCCCGCTCCACGGCCGGTGGCGCTCGAAGCCGGGCGAGCTCATTCCCAGGGGATGAGAAAGGGGGGTGGGAAATAGGACACACACCCCCAGTGGCGTTGGTTTATCCCGCCCCGCTCTGTGCCCTGCGCCCCCTGGTGGGGCGGGCCATCCCACAGGGACATCCAGGGACACCCAGGATTCCTTTGGGATCTCCAGAGTGACCCGCAGGAGCCACAGGCATTGCCTTTGGTCTCTGAGCCCTCGGCACGCTGCTCGTTTGGATCTCAGGTTGTCCCTGATGTGCTCTATTCCACCAACGCTTCCCCCTCATGTTTCCATGCCTCTGCATCCCAGACCTTTCAAGAAACTCCCGTTCCTCCCCTCAGTAAATGCTCTCAGGCTTGGCCTTTCCAATACTTTCTTGCGGCTCACACTAGTTTAAACCTGGTCCAACTGAAATGAAACACAGAACCAAGCTCACAGACAAACACTGTCTCCTTGCCCTTGTGCTGCATTCCTCTCTCTATTTCTTTCTTGCTCAGTCTTCCATCCTCACCCCCGCAATATAAAGGTCTTCTGGTCCACAATGTTTGTGCTTTATCTTTTTTTGTAATCTTTGGGGCACCATCCCTATCAGAAGGATTAAATAAATTATATCTTGCTGAGGGCATTTTCCCATCTGACCAGGTGTGTTTACAGCTGACACCACACACTCCAGCCCCAGCCATCTGACGGATGTGAGTCTGAACAGGCACTCCCACCCCACACACACAGCTGAGCTGTGGTCTGCACTGCAGTCAAAACTTTTTGTCTCTGTACATCTTGTGGATATAACACCACATTGCCCAAGCTAAAGCTTCCTGATAGTGTGGATGGGGCAGGGATACATGTCCACATGCATCCTCTGCTTCAGCAGTGTCACGATGCTCATGCTGGCCAAAAATACTTTCCTGAAATTGCTCTCACCTGGCCTGCAGCCAGGGTGAGGTTTATGTGTGGGGGTTGTGTGGGTGCCTGCAGCTGAGAAACAGGCATCTTTCTTCCCTCCTTGTACTTGTAAAGCCATCAAGGACAAAGATGGTGATGCAACTTCTGGCCCAAAAAGTCTCTAAACTGTTGACTGCCAAAAGCTGGGAAATCTCAACGGAAAAAATCACTGTGTGTTGCCTTGTTTATTTATGCTTCCCAAGGATGCTGTTGGAGAAATGGCAGCAGGCTGGATGGCTTTGCTTTCTTCTGTTCCCAGGTACTGGATACCTGCAGGGTTAGGGCAGGAAGTGTGGCAGTCTCTACTGTCACTGGTTGCACCAAGGAATATATTCCTTTGTGATTGAGCATGTTGGTTATTTCTGTCTCCCAAAAACCACAGCATATTAAAATGTTGAACTGTTGTAATGGCAGTGGAAATCCCACCCCTATTTTGCCTGCTGCTACCAGCTCTCTCCATCCTTCCTCAGACTTCTTCATCTTTCCAGGAGGAAACAAAACATACAGATTTTCTTATATGCTTTGCTTTTATTCCACCATTTATTTCTTCTGTTTCTCCCTTGGATTTCCATTCCTGTGCTCAGGACATACATACACATTCTTTAAACAGGCACACATATGTCTGTATATACAGTAAGACACAATCCCTCACATAGAGATGGGACACTGCTGAGAGAAGAAACGAGGTACAGTGAATGGTTGCAGCCTGCCCTGGAATACAAGCTATAACAAACAGATTACAATGGATTCAAAGACAACAATGCTCCATGGCATGGCTCAAAAGGATATGGAGGTTGTGTTTGCCAACAAGCCCATGTCACACAGGAGGGTCAAAGCTGCTGGCTCTCAGCAAATGTCACCTGAGAGCTCTCACTTGGGAAAAAGAAAGGCAGGACACAGAGCCTCTTCTTTCCTCATGGTTTTGGAGCTGGTGAACACAAAGGGGATATCCCACAGACCCCCCAGGTTTGTATCTCTGCTGTGTTGCAGAGCCTGCCTGAGGACAGAAGGGAGCTGTGCTGTGTGAAACACTTGTGCGTGTCTGGAGAGACAGGGACAACCTACGCCTCTGACACTGCTCAGCTTAATGTTTGCTAGGAGGAGCTTTGGGATGGCTCATTCTTCCCTTAGTCTCTGCAGCTGTTTCTGTGTTGCTGAGTACTCAGGTGGGGTTCAAGCACTGGCCCCTGACCATTCACACCACCCAACAACTGGCTGACACCTCGTCTCAGCTTTTGACAAGTCTGGCTCGCAGTCTCCAGTGAGCCCAGATTTGTCCACAGCTCCACGACATGCTTTGGACATGAGCCCTGTGGTCTTGAGCAAAGGCAGTTTTTTATTCAGCTTCAAGCACTGCTGTCAGGAAAGAGGTCAAGTGAGGGTCTGTTATCCATCTTTCCCCAAAGAACTTATTTCTTATGGGCAACTAATAGTCTGCAGACGTAAGTCCTTCTTCTTTTGTTTTGGCAACTGCTAGCCCATGACTTTAACTGGAGGGTGAATGCAAATCCAGTACAGTGCCTAAGTACTGAGGAGGGACTGGCTGTCTGACCTTCACCAATTCAGTCAGTCAGGCCATATTACTGGAAACTCAGCCAGCTAACACTTTTTTGACCTGCACAAAATTAATAGGCTGTTTCCTATAAGCCAATACAGGATACTTTCTATCCTGAGTGGCTCTCAGTGGCCACACACTAAACGTTTAAAAAAAGACTGCATAGGGTCTGGAAGTTAGAAAGACTGATGGACAGGCAGGCCCTCCAAATCTGGACCGGAGCCCGGAGCCAGATAAAAACCTTGCTCTGCTGACCTACTCAGCACATCTTTTCTTTGCATCCAATCTGCTCATTGTCACTTTCCACCAGCACTAAAAACACCCCAAAGAAGAAGCACAGAACCTACCAGCCTGTCCCTGCTGGCTGTTTCACAGACCAGCCAGTTCAACCACCACTTCAAAGGGATTTTATGTTGTACGATCAATGTCCTAAGAGTTTTCCCTGTGCTCAGGGTTCACATTGTCTGCCATACAGCACATACGGAGGAAACAGTATGTGTTAAAACATTATTTACTGAAGTTTAAAAACCCAAAGTATTTCAAAAAAAGCTACCAAAAAGGCACCATATATGTATGTATGTAACTGATGAACTTCATCTAAGACCAGTGCAGGGGAGAAGAAAAAGACATTTTGGAGCAGAATGAAGAAGCAGAGGGACCAGGAGTGATGATGGGTTTTGGCTCCAGGACAGCCAAGTCTCAGGTCTCTCAGTCCCCAAATATCACTGAGGAACATCAGCCAACACACCTGAGTTTTGAACTCTGAAGAGATAGCAAACCGGTCTCTTGTTCCAGCTGTCCCAAAATATGACGGTGCAGAGCAGAGAGGCAGCAAGGAGCCACTCAGCTCTGTGAGGAGTCTGGACCTCAGGGGATATCTGTATTCTGCTCCTCTCTTGCCACTGAAGGTTTTCTAGTAGCTTCCACCTTGATTGGGTTAGATGGCTCCTATTCACATGTTAAGTCTCCTCTACCCTGACTGGGTATGTCCTTTTGAGAGGGAAAAAGTAAGGAAATAATGAAAAATAATCATGGTCTAAGTAAATACAGTGCTGGGAAGTCCTGGGGGTACTTTCATAGTTTCTGTGCTAGGAGGCAAAGGCAGCCTGAGCACCAGCTTCCTTCCTTCAGTTGGTCCTTGCCAAACCAATGAAACATTTGAAGAGGAGACAGGTGGGGAGGTGGAATTAGACATTTTCTCAGGCATCTGTGGCTATGTTATCAGTAGTTACAGAATATGTAAGAAGGTACATGGAATAAGTCCTGCTTCAGCCAGTGGAAATCCTCTCTTATTTCAAGTGGCAAAGGGCCATGTTTCCGTACTTCCAGGGCTAATCATGAAACTGGTGTGTGTGCAAACACTCTTTTTGCTGGCAAAGCTAACAAGCTAAACACAGAGAGAGAGAATATATATATGTATTCATGTACATATACAACATGTGCTCACATATAAATATGTATATGTAAGGAGGCATAACTGATATACAGGTTACTGCTGGGGAAATGTGCTTTTTACTGTAAGTACTTTCAAATTGCATTCAAAACAGCAATGGAGGAGAGCCTCTTCGTTATACTGAATCCAGAATCGGCTTTGCTTCTTTTCCATCCTTTCTCCCTGCAACACCGCCCAGAAAGGCTGGTTGCTTTGAATGCCCTGCCTTGCAGTCTCTGCAGGCCTGAGATTTGAGACTTTTGACATATGGGGAGCAGCAAAATTGTTGTGTTTTGTCACAGTTGCCATTTTCATGAATAGCAAAACCCTCTGGTGTCTTAGGAGGCAACACCACGCTGACCTGCCTTACCTGTGTGTCAGGGTTACGCTGTGCTCTGCTCCTGCGTGACTGATGGTGAAGCTTCACTAGCAGTGTCTAATCCCTCTGCATCCTGCAGTGATTCAGATGCCAGTGGTGTTTCTTCAGTGTCTGATGTTCTCTGTGTATCTGTGCTTTCACTGGTTTCCTTTGCTTCCGCTTCAACTTCTTCCTTCTCCTTGTCCCCCTTTTCCTGTTCACTGGCAGTGTCTTGCTGCTCTTCTCCCTTGGGACCCTCACACACCTCCTTGTTTTCAGAGGTAGGCTGGGCAGAGTTCTCCTTCCCTGGGGCATCATGACACACTTCCTCCTCCTCTGTATTCCCTTTGTTACTCTTGCAAGGATTAATTTCCTCTGCCTGTTTATCCCCTTTTTCTTCATCTTCTGATTTGCTGGACCCTCTCCTTGATGGGGGCTTCTCATCAGACCCTGACTGTTTCTTTTGCTCATTGCTGCCTTTTAACTCATCCTCTGACCTGCTGGATCCTCTCCTTGACTGAGGTTTCTCATCAGACCCTGATTCTTTCTTTTGCTCTTTTCTCCCTGTTTCAGCCTCCTCTGTCTTGCCATTGGGCCCAAAGACCTCATCTTCCCTGGCACCATTTTCTGGAGAGGAGATGTTGAGCCCTAAATCTTCCCCATCTCCGTACTCGGACAGAGATCTTCGGAACCTCCTGGAGGGTGGCCTGCGCTTGATTGATCCTCGTGTCCGCACCTGGGGGCAGGAAAAGCAGACACTGAAGCACTCAAGAGAGTGGTATTGGAAAGCAGGAAAGTACAACAGAGGAAAACATGGGAAATTTAATTGATACCCTGGTGACTTCACTTTTCCTGCTCTGCTAATGAGAGGCAGGGAGAAGAGGGCTCCCTGCTGCTGAAAGACTACTCTACAGGACAAGCAGCTCCCTAATGTAAGCCTCCCTTCTGTAAAGACGGTGCGAGAGACCATCCAATTTGAACTGTGACTCCTCGTCCAAGTTAGACCCCTAAAACTAAGGATGCTGCGTTCATTACACAGATGCTGCTGACTCTGGATGTCTCAGCCTTCTCTTCCTCTTCATCCCCAGGGAAAAAGCAAGTAAGAAATCCCAGCACAGATCCTACCTTATTGTAGAACTGCAGCTGGGTGCCTTCCGGGGGCTGATCAAAGCTAACTGGCGTCTCACTCGCCTCGCTGGGCTGGATCTGAGTCCCAGGGCTGCTGGGTGTTGAGGGAGGTGTGCTGAATGGAGAAACCAGGGCTTTCAGACCAGGGCTTTTGGGAGACACTCCCGGCAGCAGAGCAGCTGGAGAAAAAGCCAGATTGGCCTGCAAAGACAAACCCCCATCATGGGTGTGAATGACAGCAGGGTGTGCTACACACGATAGCCACGCAGGGGAACCCTTGCTCTGCCACAGCTCTCAGCTGTCACAACCCACAGACCTTCTGGTTGTGAGTCTCTCCTGGTGACACTGTCAACAAACCAGTCTGGGCAGAGAAGTTATGACTGGACATTTGTCCTTCCCCAGCAGCTGGAACTCAGGACGTGTTCTTTTGTCATCCTCAGGCCTTTTGGGATTTTCCAGTGACCCAGCCAAGCCAGCACAGACTACAGTGGCTGAGCTGGGAGCAAATTTGAACAAGCAGCCAGCAATCACTTTTAAACCAAAATATTTAAACCATCCCTGTGAGGGCCCAATTTTCCAGCCTGATCTTCTGAATGAACTGCATAGTTGTGAGAAGACCACGGAAAGAGGTGAGTTTGTGATTAACTGCGGCAAAACACTTCCTGCTGGGCTCTCACTCAGAAGATCTCAAAGGCAAATGTCCTTGGTGCATTAGGAGGGACAGTGATATGAATAGGTATAGGTTGTGAGAGGGTGGCCAGGAGCTCTGGAGCTGCACGTGATGCCAGGAATGACAGCTGGCAGGGCCAGGGCACTCTGCCTTCAGGCCATCCGGTGCTGAGCTGCCCTCAGCAGTGTGGATCAGGCACCACAGAGACATATAAAAAGGGCAGGAAGCACTGGGTGTGTTTTTGAGTAACTGGGGAAATCCAGATGAGGGAAGTGCAGAGCTTCCAGGCATGTGTAGGGGAGAGCCAGAGCCTGGAGCGCACTCCCCATTGTCAGGGTTGTAGTTGCCTGTGCTGAAGACTGGCTCCCTGATAGGGTGCAGGTGACTCAGTCTGAGTTAGACTGCTGCAAAGAAAGAGCTGGAAGAAGTCTCAGGGTTTCCCTCACTTTCTCTGGAGACCTGCATTTAAACTGAGGCTCCTGCCCCTGCTCCCCACTTATGCAGTGTTGCTGTCATGCCATGCCCAGCCATGTGCTCCACAGTTCCAAAGCACTGACATGCTTATGGCCCCACCTGGGGATCACTGGACTGCTTCTGATGTTCATTACCATTACCAGATCTGCTCTGCCTTCCTTATTTATATACGGTGGGACTGGGTCCTTATGGGTGAGGCCACTGCTCTGTTCACCCAGCTGTCACTCTTGGCTCCTGGATCCCCCTTCCCTGTGACTGCTCTGCAAGGGAAGTAGCTATTACAAATGCCTGTCAGTTTTAATTTGCTGAGGAAGCCATGTGGGTTTTTCTAGGACCTACCTGCAGCTTTTCAATCATGGGGGAGCTTTTCACCTTGACCTTGGGAAGGGGGCAAGCATTTGGAGACCGCTTCTGCAAAACAAAATGAAACACAAACACTTCACAGTAAAGTAAGTGAAAAAGAGGAAATCTAATAAAGGCAGAAAACTTGGAAGAGATAAGCAGAAAGTGCTAGCCATCCTAGGAATAGATGTGTGTACCCTTTTTCTGGGAGAAAAGGAGATTGTCTGCTGTCTGAGTTAGGTAATGTGTAATTGCTCTACTTCTATTTTGCCTTCACTAAGGTATGTAGCCTATGGCATAGTTTCCCCTGGTATTATTTCAGGACCAGACAGATTAAAATTCTACTTCTTAAAGCCTTAATGTTGGCAAACATTGTGAACTTCCTGTGAGGGGAAAGACTTTCTGCCACCACTTGATTAACAGAGTTAAAGGATATCCAATTAGTATAGGCAGGAAAGGCCTACGTGGCAGGAAAGGCAGAGCTCTGAAAGGCTGAAAACAGTTTGAGAAAGGTAAAGCATTCCTGTGAGAAGGGGCACATTGCTTTTTTCAGGTCCAAGGGAAAAGGAAGGAATCTAAGATTTTAAAGCTTGCTGCTCCTTTGGCATGTAGCTGACAGATAAGGACAAAGAACTACTCCCTCGTTAAGGGCAGGTGACTGTGAAATATGGTGGGTAGACCTCATATCTTAAAATACAAAGTACAAAAGTGACAGGAAAGGTCCTGAGTACAAAATTTAGCGAGGAGCAGCCAGCTTACTGGGACCTTGTCATTCAAGGGTGCTGTATGGAGGACACCTAAAGACAATATTCTGTGGGTATTGCTGACAAACCCCCTCTTCACTCTGGATTATTTATTCCCTTTTTCTGAAGATGGAAAAATCTCACAAGCAGAACTATTACACCATTATACTCAAACCTCTAGAGTTCATCTGAAGGCAACACACACCATGGATGCTCCCTGTGCTAAGAACTCAAATCTCACAAATTCCAGTGGTTCCTGAACAGTGGTAACTGGATGGATCCATCAGTGTGCTAAGGGTAAAAATGAAAGCAGTGGAAATGGGATGTGTATCCGTGCTACAGGAGTGGGAAACAGCATGGAGCTGACTCTGAGTCAGTACACGTATGTGAGCAGAGGGAGGTTTGATTCTGTGTGATTGATGTCTGTGGCTGCACAGCCTGACCTCTCTGCTACCTCCAAACCCGTGTCTCAGGAGAGAGCAGGTTGCACAGAGGAAAGACCTTGCCCCCTCTTAAACTGATACTCACTTGCTCATCATTGTCACTTGTCTCAGTTTTGTGGGAATACAATGGAAGGGAGCATGGTGGTTTCCTCCGAGTTGGCTTATGCGGTGGCACCTAAGAGAAGAAAACAACCAACTCAGCAGCAGGGAAATCAGGTTTCTTAAAAAGGGAGTGAAACTCAAGCACCAAAGGGCATGCTGTGTAAGTGACCTGCTGGGGCAGCAGGGCTCAGCTTGTCTAAAGGAGTCATCCAAAGGCAGCACCAGGTATTGGCGTTTGGGCATGTGGCCAGCATGCCAAGTATGCTTGTAGCATCTAGAGCCTAATCCTGTAGCATCTTGAGCCTAATCCTAGTGGTGGAAAAGTAGTCTGTATCTTTTTCCACAGTATGAGCCACAACACTTCAGGTTTTGTGCAAAGGACTCTGGAGGGTGGCAAAACCTTCCCAGAAACTTCATCTTCAAAGCATCCTGCTGGAGACCCCCTCACACTGGAACAGGTTGTTACTGTTCTCTTTCCTGTCATTACCAGGATTTCCTTTTAATTCTTATCTGCCTACCTGGTTCATGATTTCCCGTTTTGCATCTGATACATTTTAAGGGCAAAAAGGGTAATTTGGACTTTTTCAGAATTTCAACCCCATTTATTTTTCTTGAATGAAGAAAAATAGTTCATAGGGACAAGTCCTCAGGTGTAACCTTTAATTTGACTGAGAAATAGATTCTCCAGGGGAGAATAAGAACAAAGCAACTTAGTGGCAGTTCCTTCTGAATGTCTTCAGACTCTCAGAAGCACAAGAGAGCTCCTTAGGAAGGAAGAGATGCATAGCACATAACTATTGCTCTAGTTTTGAAGCCAAGCTGTCTCTATTTTTATGCCAGGTTTGTAGTCTCCTGCCAAGCTGTTAACACACTTTTTATGTGTTAACAGGCAAAATAATTGGATAATATTGTGGATCTTGGATAGTATCCACTATAAAATATTTGGATAATTTTGTTGTTGCCTCACAGGCTGGCAATGTGAAAAATTAGATCACAGTGTCTTTGCCCTCTGTAGAGTTGGCTGTCTTGGAGGACCTGTAGACTTGATGCCACTTAGCTTCTGGTTGATGCTGCATCCAGCCATGGCAATGCTGCATCTCCCAGCAGCCAAGGGAGCCCTGCCCTTATCCTTACCGGAAGGAAGTTATATGCTAGGAAGCAATAGTATGTCTAATTGAAACCCCATAATTTTGCAACTGTGAAATGCACTGTGCCAGAGTGAATGTGTCAGAGGTTCCCTGGTTGATGGGATCCTCTCTGCTGGCATGGGTCAGGCAAGGGTTAAAGACCATCCACTGAGCCATTAATCTGACTCCAGCTTGAGAAAGCCAGTGGGGAAGTGACAGATGGCTTGGAGAGAAAAGACAGGAAACTTTGTCCTCCTCTGTCTCTGGAGAAAATGAGTTTCCCCCCCACAGTGAGGCCCCTCCACACTGCCTTGGCTTGGGAGCAGCAGAGGTCTGCAGATAACACAAGAGAGGTCTGGGAACTTTCTGCCTTCTGTAGGGTGAGAGACTTACTGCAATTGAATCCCATACCTTAAAAAAAGGAAGTTACTGTAATGGGATGGATGCAGTGGTGCACTGGTGACTAGAGGGGAAAAAATAGTGCTTGGGAAGAGATTGGCTATTCCCATCCTGGGACCTGGCTAACCTCTGACAGATGACAGTATGCCAGCCCTGCAGGGCACAGGTCACCACTGCATCCAGCCAATGGCAGGAGGGGAGACAGGGAGGGTCCCCTTAAGCCCAACCTGGGACATCCTGAAATCAGCTGAGCAGCAGAAGGGAGCAGTTCAGTTTTGAAAGAGAAGAGAGCCACCAGTAAACACTTATGCTTCTAAAAAAGAGTCATAATGATACTGGGGGCTCTCCTAAAATGTCAGCCTCCTTTCATAAACACCATGTCTCTCCTTTCTTCCCAAGACAGGTATTCTAGTGTTTTGCTTAGCTGGTGAAAGACAGCTTATGAGGTGATGCTTGGCATAGTGGGCTTTCAATAAATCAAAGTTTCAGCACAATAGAGATAGGCACAGAGTCTGAAATGTCATTGGAAAGAGGCAACGAAGGTGAGTAAATAGGCAGCTTTCTCTCAGACCCTTACAGAAGGAATAACGGGAGGAAACCTCCTTTTGCAAATGTGGTGCTGATGACTTGCCATTGGCTTCCTACAGTGCATAATCTGTTGTTTGCTTTCTTTTCCTGTGGCTCAGTAATAGCTAATTTGTTATTCCCTGTTGCCATCTGCCCACAAAAGCAAGCCCAAATAGTGCATGCATTGCTGTCTGCTCTTGTTGGCTAAATATGTGCACCCTACCAAGCTTTACAATGTCTCAGTTAGTGTCTGGTCCTCCCGAGGTGCAGCTTTACCAAAACACTCATCCACAAATCAGTAAAGCACGGAAGATACTGCCACAGCTTGCATTGCATGAGGAGAGGAATCCTTTGCAAAGATCCAAAATCAAGGTGGGTTCATGCTCAGGTCACTGATCCTCCAACAGGCAGAGCTGAGGGCCTGATTTCCCCCGCCATTTCCTAATGGCAGCTGCAGAGTTCCTTACCTCTTTTGCAGTGATATTGGCTGCTTGCTCCTTGAATTTCCCTGCTAGCTGAGCCACTGAGGGTGATGCTGACTTGTCCACCTCTGAGTTGGTCTCTGCTGGCCTGTTCTGACAAAGTGGGAACAACACGTTATGAGCAAAGGCAAGCCTGTGTATGTGTTATAAAGTTCAAAAGTAAGCACAGACTTTAAAGCAGAGTTCCTCACATCTGGCATCAATCATCCAGCCTGTGAGCAAGAGGTTTGGGATGACAGGATCTAGCCTCATTTTCAAATATTCCAGAAGATCAGATATTCAGGCAGAGCCTTTCAGCTTTTGCTGAAGAACCTACACTCAGTAGTTTTCAGTAGAAGAAAACTAGGCATTTCAAGCCAAGTGTCTGTTCCCCATCTTATCCTTGCAGTGAGCAGATGGAGCAGGGCAATAAAGTCCATTCCCATGCACCTCTGCAGCTCTTCCATACCTTTTTCACTGCCCTGGTCATCATCCTTCCTTTTCCAGCACTTCTGCTATGAGAAGCCATTCCCAGTTCTTGCAGCAAGCCAACATCTGCTTGGAGATGTATCCCTGTGCTGTTCTGCTTTTTTGGCAGTGAAATACTCAGGCGGGTGGGGGGAGGGAGGAAATACCACGGCTGAGAGAAGCTTCCCCTCCCCTGAGTTGACAACAGGCTGAGAAGCAGGAGGCTTGTGTTGGAGTGTGAATGATGCAGCTCTTCCCATAACACACTGCCCTGGTGTCATCCCACATTTACCTTTGTTTTCTTTGCTATGTGTGTACCGAGCACTGTAAGTAGAAAGCCTTGAAATCAAAGCTGATGAATGGAAACCTTTGTTTTTCATCTCTGGTATCTGATGCCAGGGAAAACCAAACCAGAGGACTGAGAATAAGTAACCAACAATCCTTGTTTTGTTAGAGGCGGAGATCTCAGAACAAGAAACCAGGCTTATGAACCATCTGTAAGAAACCTCATACCTCCGCTCCCTGTACCACCACCATCAATGCAGTGCATGACCACCACCACACCTCTCACCCCACTGCCTCAGTACTCAGGCAGAAAGTTTCCCCAAAGGCCATTGCTAGAGGAATATATTTCTGTTCCTCCAATGACTCCAGCAGAGCCCTTCCCTCTCCCTTCACGCCGCTCTGCTTGGGAGGGACCTGCTGCTTCATGAACACAACCGCACCTTCAGCACTGCTGGAGGTGCAAGGCCCTCAAAACACCAACCTGGTCCATGTATGGACCATTCCCTTTGGGTAATCATGCCACATGGACTGAAGAAATGGCCGTGGAAACTTGATATCATGTTAAGGAAGGGATTTCTTTAGACTCCTAGTTTCTAGACTAAAAGCAAATCGAGGTGGTTACATCATCTCATAATCTGCAGTTTGGAGCAGTCTCTATTCTGAAATGCCTGGTACAGACCAGTGTGGCTGAGGTCTGTTTGCATCGTGGAAAAGGGCTTTTCCCTTTCTCAGAGAGCTGTAAATAAATGCTCAGAATAGATGCTATCTTCTTTTCCCCAGGCCCACAAAACCCTGTAGATGTCTGCTATTCCCTGTTTCCAGGACCCTGACTACATCTTCACTGTTAAGCTTTCCATGCACTTTGGACTAGCTTTCCTACATTTAGGAAAGCCATATCAAGCTGCCTCCTCTCAGTGATCCTCATGCAACTTCCATTGGATTAACTACAGGCAGGGAAAGTGGCAGGTAAGGGAAATGGAAGAAACAGTGAGGTAGGCAGATCAGCAACCTGCTGCACAGGAAAAATGGTGGCTGGGCTAAGCGGGGAGGGAGAGCAGTTCCCAGCTGCAGACTGCCTCCCTGCTCTGAAGGGAGGAAAGAGGAGGGAGCAAAGAATGAACTTGGAAAAGGTAGGATGGACTGGGAGGCTTGGCTCTCAGCATACCAGCTCCCAGGATACGTGGGAATGGCAAAACAGACACCTAAAGTGAGGACTCTGTTGAACTGAGGAGCTGCAGGTCTTCAGTGTTTGTGTGGAAGGGTTGCCTCCCTCACAGGCCCTTTTTCTCCGAAAGCTTCTCTCACAGCCCTTTGTCTTTACTCAGAAAAGACACTGTACTTCCTCTTGGCCTTGGCCCATCTGACCTCTTGTTTTTGGGGTGATCACGTTTTTAATTTTTCTTTTTTCTTTTTTTTTTGACTTACAGTCTGAAAACACAGCTTTGTTCTTTGATCAGAGCTGTGAGGCTAGAAGGGTTCCACGTGTTCTTTGTTTTGCTGGTGACAGACACTGATTGCGAGGTGGCCCTGGCCAGGCAGGGCGCAGGAAGCAGTGAACATGCCATTCTAAGATTAGCCCCAGTAGCCCACGGGCTGTGTCCTCCCGAAGTTGCCAGCTGCAGACTCTCTGATTACGCTTTGCAGCAGGAAAAGTCCTTTCTCAGATCCTTTCTGGCACTTACATTAGTGTCCTGTATTCAGCTTTTTCTACATTTGTCCCCTGCCCCTTCCAGATGGTGTGCCAGCCTCTGTATCTTCTAGTCAGGGGAAAGTGCTGAGGTGGGGCACTTGGATGCAAAAAGTTCCATTCTTTGCAATGCAAAGAGAACACCATTCCCCTGACTTCCAGGAGCTGGACTGTCAGTCTTCCTCTCCTCCTTCCCACTACTAGGGGTAAGGTGGGAAGCCTCACTTTACCACTCTCACCCCAGAGCCTGTACCAGCCCTCAGCCTCTTCCACAACCAAGATGTGCATCTGCTTCTCTCACCCAGGAGTTCAGCGCTGGCTCCCTCCTGCCCCCCTGATATAAATGCAACCTTTCCCATTCCTGGTCATATTTCACATTTTGGTGATATAATCCACCACTTTTCTGAATGATGCTCTTTTTTTTTTTTTTAAATGTTTTTTGCAGCCAACTGCTGATTCTTTTCATTTTCAGAACAGAACATAATCAGCCTGCATGGGCTAAAACCAGTGAACCAAGGTTAAAGGCTCTGTCCATCAGTAATTTGGTAACTGCTACTCTGAGGTCTTTTACTGTTCCATAAAAATAGGTGTCTAAGTATTACAAGTTCTGAAAAATGTCAGACAGAGCCATAAACAGGAATTGAATTATACCATCAATGTAAGCATGGCACTGTCTGCAAAAGAGGAAGTGCAACTACCAAGTTCTCTGTAAGGGGTTTGTTTCACTTTCCTCTTCCAAATAAGTTTATAAAATTGAGTAAATGTGAAAATAGTTTTCAACACCATGGTTTTTCATTTGTTTTTAAAACTGAGTCTACTCCTTTTTATCAGCACTGGAGAAGAAAGCTCTGCCTCTGTGGTTTAGGTGCAAATGTGCCAATTCAAGCTTCCCACCAAATCTCTCTTTCCGTGTGTCTTGGAGTCTTTGTGATGAGAGCAAAGCTGCCCACCAATCCCCGACTCTGCAGATTGCCTGAAAGGGGCTACTGTTTTCAGCAAAGATTCCTACTCCTCTCACAGGCTGCCTGGTGGAAACACCACTACAAATGTCCCACACCATTCCTGCTGTATCTTTTCAAGGCAGCTGAGGAGATCTCTGAGCAGAGATACCTTGAAGCTGCGGCACAGTCAGCTCTGGCTCACACAGTCCCAGCTTCACTGATGATTTCATGTGCCAGAAGATGACCAGTAAGGCTGCCTGATGTGGGAGTAGTAACGTCTCACAGAGGGGACCCCTCACTACAGCAATGCCATTACCTGGCTGGGTGACATTTGCCAATTCTGCTACAGCCCATGAACCCACTGTGGGCACCAGGTGAGAGAAAGGTGCATGTTAGAGGCCCACACAAGAGACCTGTGCATACTGTTTGGGTACTCACAAAGCACTTTTCTTAAAGATGATGGATTTGAGTGTCAATACAGAGAATGAGTTTCTTATAAAATCAAAATCACAGAGAATTTCCACTCCTGTGGAAAACTGGAAAAGCCAGAGGTGGCTTTTGGTATGAATTTGAAAGTTCTGCTGGGATTGGTGCACAATGGAGTCCAACAGTCCTCAGCTAGTAGTCTGGTCATGAGCCACCCCACTGCAACTGAAAGCTATCATGACTCCATCATCCCATGGGATTGGTATCCCACCAGTTTTGTCACTGTCCATGATACTGGAAACACGAGTCTGAATAACAGAGCAGCAGAATAACAGCAGAGCTCTGAACAACAGCAGAGCTCTGTGCTGCACTACTCTCCTTCACTCCCCTATGAATCCTCTGACTTGCCTGCTTTTGCAGGTAGGATAGTTTGTCCAGATGGAGCACCTTTTATCTGAGATGCAAGAGTTCCACAGCATCTTGCAAGGCTGGAATATTCAACAGCTACAAAATCAGTGATGGTTACAACATTTTTGGTACTGTTCCTGTGCAAGTGCCACTCCCATTCTTGAGCAGCTGCCTCTAGACATGGTTTTGAGGCCAGTCTCTGACCTCCACATCCCTCCTTTGTTTCCAAAGAGCTTTTCAGGACTGATTCCCTGCAGCCTGTCCATCCTGCCAGCTGCCTTCCTACACCCTGTGCTCCCACAAGATCTGTAAAGCTCTGCTGTGACTCTCACAGGGGCTTTTCACTGCTGCACACACAATCGACCTCAGCAAAAGCAAATAGGGTAAAAGGAATGACAGATACAATGTCTCAGAGGCAGATACAATGAGGCACTCGAGGTTCAGGGCTAATGTCTTGATTGCAGAAGCAGGGTCCAGATATAGTGATATTCAGCACCCAGCTCTCAACACTGCACCACGAGAAGGCAGTTGTCAGTATGATAGAAGAAAACAAGAGATAGCCAGTGCTTTTGGGGTGCAGTTTCATAAGGTCTTGGTTTCAGCAGAAATACAGTGTATGTTTCCAGCTGCTCATTCTCCACTGACCTTTCCGTTCCCCCTTCCCCTCCTCCCTTGCACCAGTGTGAGTTGGTGGGGCTGTGCTGTAAACTGGATCACTGAAATTATCTGGGCTAAAAATACATCCCTTAACTCTTTACAAGGTTATTTTTAACCCAGATCATTCCAGCAATGGAGTTCACAGCACGGGCTTGCCGTGCTGTAGTGGGAGGGGATGGTGAGGTGGTAGGGGCAGCCTGCAGCACAGGGGGGAGGGCTTCCCTTTAACCACTCCAGCCAGA